TGTTTGGTTGCTTGCTGGCTCAGAGATTTCTGAGTTCCTGTCGTGCTTTATATTAATACATGAGATATAGCGCCATTATCCATTTTAATTAAATGCTCAAGGCGCTTATATCATATTAAAGTATCAACCCAAGCAAAATAAGCTCTGTCCCTCGTGGTATTGGAATGATAAATAAATGATTTTTAGATTGTGAGAACGCGAAATATTCACTCAGTAAGTGGAGGGGGCTTTCAGGCTGGCACTCTTAAAGATCACCCTCTCCGCCCCCCCCCCGCCCCCGTTCCCCCTCCCGAAGAGTATAGAACATAGTTATTAACGTAGACAATAATATTTAACTACTTAATATTCAGAAGCTTTTCAGTCCCATTAGCGCCTTTTATTATAAGGGTTTATAGATATTCGCGCTCTACTGATTCCTGGAATGGATTGGATTGGATATTTTAAAGGCCCACTACACTACTTGTAGCTACTTGCGCCCTCTATATAACAAACGATGCCTGATCGGTAAACATTGGTCCCCCATGATCCTCTTTTTCTTATGTTAACTGAGAGCTGAGTTGATGAGATAACCACCTGTCTAATGACCTTGCAGGGAAGTCTAATCCCTTCTGTAAACTGTGGCAGATACGCTTTAAACATGATATCATAAGTCTTTGGACTCCAATCGTGTATCATATCAAGCGATTCTTAAAAAACCTGAATGAACTGTAGGAAAAAGTTAATTGATTTCAAATGTCCCTTTAAGTACCTTTGGGTGCACAATGTCTGAGAGTCTACTTCAACATCAGGAAGTAGAACTGGGAGCGGTATTAATTTCAAAGTTTCAAGAATCTAAGTGCTTAATTTCCCATATTTCTTTCATTCACATTATCAAAAACATCTTTTCAAGCTGAATTCCATAAAAGCCTCTAAAGATCAATACAGAAGAATAATAAGAAAAGAAACAAATCTGGAGCAACAAATTCAACTCTTTAACATGCCATTTGTGAACACGGCACCATACCAGAATAATTAAAATTCATGTAGTGGGGAATTCCATCTTGCCCACGACCTCTTGACCCAAATTTATCCAAGGATAAGGGATGCACATGGGGACCGCCCAGTAATTTACAGCTTCCTGACTTTTGTTTAATCCAATGTCAATGTCTTCAATGTTGCGTGTGTTTTTTTTTTTTTTTTTTTTTTGGGGGGGGGGAGGGGTGAAGAAGGGTGGTAGGAAAAGTTTGGAAGTTTACGTCACTGCACTTTTACTTTTGTATCAGTGGATTTATCATTATGTCATGTTAAATATTTTAAAAATTAAAAATACTAACCAATATGGGGTTTATCTCTATTGATGGAAATTTGGCGTCATGAAATATTCACGAATTTTGGATCATTCGCAAAAGCCTCATGCGGCACGAAGAATTATGGTTCTACACTGACTAATATCCACTGTTCCCCATTACATTAGAATATTTTTTTCTTACCTTTTGCCATGAAGTGACAATATGGTTTACTCTTGGTAGATGGAGTTTATATCTTCTAAAAACTAAATAATAATAATAATATTTAATTTTTATAAAGCTCTTAATACAAATGTCTCTAAGCGCTTAACAAATATACTTTTACCCCGGTCATTGGATTCAGAGCTTGCCCGCACACACTGTGTGCACAATCTCCACTTCCTGGGGAGCATTCCAGCTGGGCGTTACTTGACGCTCACAAGCTGTTTGACCAAGAATGACGGCCGCATCCTACCGAGTACCCATTTAACACCTGGGTGGAGAGTAGCAAGTGCAGGTTAATATCTTGCCAAAGGATATTAGTGCCGTGTCGGGATTCGAACCCTCGACCTTTCGCATCTCCAGTCAAGCGCCTTAAACCACTCGACCACGACACTCCCACGTTTAAAGAGTCCTAGAGTTTGGTCAGTATAGCTCTAAGAAGATATAATCTACATGTATATAGCTAGGGAGAATAAATCATATTGCTACAATCATTTCATGAAAAGAGGTCATTTTATTTCATGGAGGATAAACATTAAAAATGAAAGTTTTGGGGATATTATGGGCCTTGAACATCTGACAAGACAATAGATTCGTTTCAAGGTCAGTGGCCTCATTATTTATATTGCCTCTGTCAGCGGATCTGTTCAAGATGAAACGGATGAGACGGAACAAGATTAATTCATGAGATAATGAGATTAATCGATGCTAATTACCTTGATAAATTTCCCCGCGGTAAAGATCCATTAGTGAGATTAGTAAAACGTATGACACGCGATGTTATGAAAATCAATGAATTCAAGCATCATTTGGAAATTAAAGTGACACCGCGCCTAACATTAATAGAAAATAGGCTACATGGTGCCCCATCCCCTGAAAAAGGGGACTTGCATCCTTCCGTTAATTAAGGTTCGAATCACTGGTACCCAGCCGAAGAAGAATCTTTTCAAATGAAAAATTATACTAAGGTTGACAAATTCGTTTAAGTTTTTTCTTGTTGCTTTAATGTGCAAATGTGTACAGTACGCCAATGAAACTGCGTTTTAAACAATTCACATGTATAAGTTCATGTCTGTGTTTAAACATTCATTAAACACGTCTGAAAGATGAAAAATGTGTGTGGAATGTTACGTTTGTGTAATCTGACGTCTTTTACACTTTAGCCTAAGTTCAGACATAAATACCATTTTTAGAAAAATCTACCAACAATGATACGTTATTTTCCGCAAGGAGTAGTTGCCAGTGGATCATACATTGTGACAACAACAAAAAATGCGCGTAAAATATTTATACAAAAAAGACAAATAAATGGTAATAATATTTATTCAAACAATAATTTTAGTAAATACAATCAACCAATTTGGCAAATTTGGAATTGTTTTCTTCTTAAAAGATTCTCCAACTATGCACCGGTAAAATTTGCCCCGCATTATATGCAAATTATGCTAGCCCCCTTTGTATTGTCCACTCTGTATGATGTTAAAGGTGTCGTTAAATAGGTATAATGGCAGATTTATGATGGATTACTTTGACCTAAGAATTAAAACAGCAATTTATGCTTGTAAAATTCTGGGGACCGAAATTGACTTATTGAAGATTGTGTTTCCCTTGCTGGAAGTTTACGCCCCTATTTACAATATATCATATTCATACCCCTTGAGAACGGAAGATACTGCTGGTAAAATATCAATAAAAATTCCTTTTGGCTCTTATAAAGTTGAATTATCGCGCGTACCTAAATCATTGCTCGTATGGCGAACATTCACTGTTATTTGCACCTACCGCGTGTTACACAATTATCAATACATTGTGAAATTTTCTCAATACCCGCCATGCGTTTTATCGGCTATAAAAACCTTTGTCATAAAGTTGAGAGGAGTTCGCGCTCATTTTACCATCAATTATTCCATATTGTGCTTATTATGCTAGAGCGGGTTTTGCTTGCATTGTTGAACGAAAAATAAAAAGGTTGTTTTTGTGTCATGTCTTTATCAATGCAGTCAACACCTGGCTAGAATAGCATGGCTTGAATTAAACGGGAAAGAAAAGGAATAAAGGAGAACCTGGGGACCGTTTCTCGAAATCGTCATAAGTCTAAGTTCGTGGATATCCCATAGAAATGCGAGGTAATCCTATAACACACGGTTCAATGGGATGTCTAAGAAGTTAGACTTATGACAGTTTCGAGAAACGGCCCCCTGGTTTTCAGAAATTCAAGAAAGAATAAGCAAAACTGAAGGTAAAGGTCTTTCGTTACCTCTAATCTGCCTCTGTAATGATTGATTTCTATTCCATGATAAGGCATTCATGCAAGGCATAATAAACGACCTTTTTTAAATATCTATTTCGTCCAAGAATGAAATAAACCATTTGATATTACCGCTGAAGGATTTTAATAGTACAAAAATATCAGAAAGAACCATAAATACATGGTTAAGGCTGATTTTTCGCCTTCGGATGAAATAAATGGATTTAAGTCATATATCTTATAGAACTCATTGCACAAAATTGGCGATTTAGTTTTACACCAAGAAGTAGCTTTTAATTTAGGCCCATCTTTAACAAAAAATTCTTCCAAGATATGTATGTTGAAAACCATTTGATTGATAACTTTTCAAAAATATTTCTTGAAATGTACTCTGCTGGATATTCTATTACCAATTACTTTACAAGATGTGAAGTTCTTTTTGAAAATCAACGTTCATATTTAAACTTTTTCTTGCACCTCTCCCCTAAAACGCGGATTACTAAAAAAAAAAAAGTTTTTTAGGATAGACTTTTAGAGAATTTCCAGACAGATCGTTATTCAATACCCTTTTTATGAGAAAAGGTGAAAGCCGAAACATTGGTACATCATGAACAGTAGATATCAATGGATATACTATGCTTTTAAAGATAAACTTTAGTACTGGTAATGCGATTGCATTGTGAAAGAAAAGGTGTGAAAGGATCAGAAACAGTTGATCATGTAGCATGTAAGTATTGGTGAGCACTGCAAGGTTCTGGAGTCATCAAAATGATAAGAAATTGGCCAAGTCTTGATAAAGTTACAAACACTGTACACAAAAAGATGTATATGGGACTACACGAACACGTGGCGTAAAAAACCTACCCCCCCCCCCCGAGTTTTACGATGTACATGACATATTTAGAATATGAAGGCATTTGAAGAGCCATGCTTTTCAGGAAACATGTCTTATCTGATGTTCTTCCAAACTTGCATAATAAGAATGATAACGCTCACAAATTATTTTTCACCTCTTCTCAGAACTCAACCTTCTCTTTAATGTCGTGAATTAATAACAAAACAACACAATAAGTACTTACGACAATTTTGACATCATACCATCGCGAAAGGGGGTGTAGGTGAAGTAAAAATACTAGAAGGAACCCAGTTAGGAAAAACAGTTATGAATGGACACAAACAAAGTGACCCTGTCAAAGCAATTATCTTGTGATTAGTCTAGAGATGAATAACTACTTGAAATTATTTTCCCTATTTCTTTCTTTCAGATTTGAAAAAGACCACCAAGCCAGAAGATGCTCCGACAAATGTTTCCGAGATCAACACCCTAACCGGCACAGACGCGCAACCCGGCAATACTGCTCGTTAGTATTTTTTTTTTTTTAATACAAGTTTATATTTTTTCAATTTAGAAAATATAATTAATTCCTCATGTATACAGTAAAAATATGGATTATTATTTCGGTTAGCTAAGAAATACGATGAGAATTTCATATCACATTCACAAGAAGGCGCAGTTTGAACAAAAAAACTTGCAAACTTCCCCCGTCCGACTTACGCAAAAAGCCTCCCCCTCCCCCTCCCCATCCCATTCCGAAAAATATCACAGACCTGGGGGTGTTTAACAAAGATCCCTTAGTTGGACCTAGCTATTATGGAAAGCCGTTAGCATCTTTGAAAGTGTTTTTTTAAAAGTTATTTTAAAAGCCATAAAATGTTGATTCAAATCATTCATAATCTCTATTTTTTGTTCTTGCTGTGGAATTCATGAGAAGTCTAAAATACCTAAATTTTTGCTTCTAAATATATTTTGTTTTAAGGCTACAAATGGCTCCCCATAATGTTTAAGTCCAACTTAGAGTTAGGTTTGACTTAGGATCTTTGTGAAACGTACAACCCCAGCAGGTATAGTGGTATTTAACTTTTATTTAGATGATCGTGAAAATACTGGTTGGGAGGCAATCTTCTCCGTTACAACTAAAGAACGCATTGAGCGCCTTGGCCTTCATTTTACGAAAGAGCTATACTCATAATTAAAAGAAACACATATTTTCAAATAATTGTGATTTGTTTTGCGAAAAATTAATTTTCGAAATATTCTACATACAGATCTCTAAAAAGCCATCGATAAAAGTCGGTTTGCTTCGCATGTGGTCGTTATAAACTTTACAATAGTTCGTGTTTTGTTGTTGTTATCGAAATCTTAATAAGAAATTGTTTGTAACCTAATAATGACCGAAAGACCTTATTTGACATTCTTTTATCTATATTGATCCACAATCAAAGACTATTTTATTCATATTTTTCTAAAATCTTCTTTTCAGGCTCGAGCACCTCCTCTGCGGTCGGAATCCCAATTACCATCGTGGTAAGTAAACTCATTATCTTCAATTTTTGTCATTAATATCAACATGACAGTTTTAATTCGATCTTTGATGGCCATCAAGTTATACTCTAATTTTCTGATAGCAGTGCGACTCGCTTTCATGTAAACTATTTGTCATGTATTTTGTAGCATGGATGTCATGCAGAAAAAGACTATATAGATATTGGCCACAGAAAAGAAAAGAATAGAATTTAAACGAAAGAATCAGAAAAGATCAGTACATGGTATGATAACGAAATTCGAACGCAGTACTTGAGGCCTATTTTGAGTGGGTGAAAACACACGCGCGCGCGCACACACAACCCACACCCGCACACAAATGTGAAAAACTTTGGAATTCTTATAAGAAAAATTCTTTTACCACACGGAAATCGTATCTTCCCACTTTAGTGTTGTAGATACGTGGTAGTTATAATACACTCTAATGTGAATAATGATTCACATCTGATTTCTGTACGACACAGCTATACCCAAGTCTTAAGTCCATTATCATTGTGGTAGGGGAAGTTATTGTTTATTTATATTATTGTGTGTGTTTTGTTTATGTGCTTCTTACACGAAATGCTTTAAATTTCCCACATAATGTTATGTCAGTTATGAAAGACCTCCGCCATGCCTCCAATCGGATTTTAACACCGCAACGTATGCCAAATGATTTCTTGAAGACCTAATATAAGTTTTCCCCGAGCTAAATAGTTGGGTGGGTAGGTGCTCTCAAAATATTTTTAAGATAAGCAGTCTAATCTATGCTGACTTTCGGGATAAAAACTCTTGAGACAAACTGGATTGCGCGAGGCTTTAATATCTGATATAACAACTCTAGCATTTGTGAATCATTGCTGTCGAACATTTTAATTAACTTGAATATTTGCATTATTTTTACAATAATAAAACAAGTGAGTTAAAATAACTAACCCTCGAACTAGCCGGCAGTATTAAAAACATTTCTGATGTCAAACATCAATCTTATATAGAGAGCCTTACTGAAGCCCAAGGATAACATAAAGTTCCTAGTATGGTTTTAACCCGTAAAATAGTGTATACTGTGCAATCTAAATTTATAACCCTCTGTGAACCTTGTGTGTGTGGGTGTGTTCGTGTGCGTGTGTGTATGTGTGAATTTGCTAGGGGCCTAGAATGTATTATATGGTTTATGATATCTTGTTTTATTCTTTTCTCTCCCTCTCTCTTTGTTTGTCTGTCCCCCTTCTCTCTCCCTCTCCCTCTCTCTCTCTCTCTCTCTCCCTCTCTCTCACATACATATACACACACACACACGCACACACACTCTCTCTCTCTCTCCCTCGCCTTTTCTCTTTCTCACTCTCTCTCTCTCTCACATACACACACACACACACACTCTCTCTCTCTTTCCCTCGCCTTTTCTTTCTCTCTTTCTCTCTCACACACACACGCACACACACTCTCTCTTTCCCTCACCTCTTCTGTTTTTCACTCTCTCTCTCTCTCTCTCTCTCTCGTTCATGTTACAGTTTCTAGTTATCCTGTTCATCGTCGGTGCAGTTTATTTCTGGAAGAGGAGAAACAGAAGACAAAACACAACTTTGTCGCCTGCATCACCTTATGCCGATACGACTACAGTGACTATCACAGACGAAGTCACACGTTTGAGAGCAGAATCTGAGTCAGATACATAATGAGAATTCGAAACTTCACCCCTCTGTCCCAACCTGTTTTGGTAATGCATTGTCTTTGACTGTATTTGAGCGTTGAGATCATTGGGGGAGGATGAACAAGAGAGTGAGGCAATTTTGAGAAGAAGGATATCGGAACATTTCTCCATGTTACAAACAATTGGATTCAGTGTTCTCTCCTTAATCATGTGGCCACGGTTCATGGATGGATCAATGGAAACCATATTTTTGATAGTTTTCTATTTAAGTCGAAGAGATGAAGTAGACCGAAGGAATAGTCGTTCAGTGTCACACCAGTTTACAGCTTCATTCATCGAGTCGTCAAGACAGCGAATATTTTAGAAGAGCAAAAGTGACAAACTTAAGCATCCTTGTCTGACCCTTGAAGTAGGGAAGCCATTTTGGCTAGACATCAACATTGTCTGTCGGCGATTATATCTGATACTTGAGTGGGCCTCCAGTATAATGGAGGACGGTTTGGAATTCCTGTAACTCGGGGAAAACCCAGTTCGCAAACCTGAAACAATATTGTAAGAGTTGGTAGATCATTACATTTAGGAACGTGACTCTACCAAGGCAGTTATTAAAGACACTGAGTGATATCGCTGTCGCAGCTTGCCAATGGCTTACATACAGGGGATTTGGGCATACACCCTCCCCTAAATCACGTGGTGAGAAGGGGGGGGGGCGGATTAGAAAGAAAAAGGGGGAATGAATGCAAGAGCCATTAGAGCACCCAGGCCCCAAAGCCCCGCACCCCTATTTTTTAAATTCTAGAACAATACCTGCCATCAGATGACTAGTATAGCCCAATAAATATACACACTAATTATTTATCCACATTTTCTGGCATTTATCCAACATCATGATCCCAAATGTCACAGGCATATTAAAGTAGGTCGGAACACTCCTCGTTTTTTTTATATTAGATGAGTGTCACGTTTCCCGGTACGTGGCCTCTTCTAGTCTACAGACGGCTAGCCGAAGGCAAATGAAGACATTCACCTCGTTGTCGCCTTTCAGCGATCAGAATTGGTACTCAAATGAAGCATGTATAATTCAAAAGATACACGGTGTCATGATTTCATGTATAATTGACTAGTACGGCTTCACGCGAATTATTTATTTGTGGGTATAACTAAGAGTGATAAGTACAGATGGTGTACAGTAGTAGGAATACGGGTGGGATACAATCCAACTGTTATTGTTGATTTATACACACTTTATACAACTTGGTCGTTTTTCGTATTATTTAAGAGTAGAAATGTTAGCGCTAATACATCGGTCATACCAACGAGACCGACTAAAGACCGAGCGAAGAATTACATTACCCCCAATAGCTCCAACCTGGTCGGTCAGGAGTCGGTCTGGAATCGGTTTGGCGGTGTGACCGAGGCCTACTACAGACTCTGTTTACAGCAATAAATGTAATAACAGATCGAGTCTGCTTTAGTAGCATTTTACATACTGTAGTTTCTATCTTATAATCGACGGATGTCCCTCTTTTAGATGATCATTGTACAGGCTATTTTCATAATGTACCTAATAAATGCAAATGTATTTGTTGAAGTGCATCATAACAAATTATTCATTCACCTGTTACAAATAATAATTTGTTGTACATCAATGGTCAATAAGCAAATTGCATACCTAAGTTCATACGTGTTGTTTGTAGAGCAAGTCACAATGCTTGTCCGACCTAGCAACAACTGATGTATGCACTGTGCATTGTGACTATTTCGATCCTATTACAAGTGAGTGTAATAATATCTCCTCACTGAGTAATTGTTTATACATTTAAAAAATTGACTGTTTTGAATTGACGATTGTCAAACATGATGAGTCATAAACACGGTTGTAATGCGTGTCATTCAAAGGAAGGACTTGACTTCTTTTTATTTATACAATATGAGATAAACAGGTTAATAGCATGCAAGGTCTCTGGTGCTCCTAAACTTTAGACTGTATTATTTACCGTGTTGTGTACATAAATAATACAGATCAATTTTTTGTATATTGTTCTCTACCAGGTTTGATTGAGACTGACAGATAATTCGTTTCATAGACATGTATAAAGGTCATCTGGGTCCCCGTCGCATAACACTTGACATTGGTGGTGACTTTGCCATCATCATTAACTACCATGGCAACATCAGTCAACAGTGCATTCTTTATCTTCCAATCAAATCAAGGTTTCAATGGAAGTTACCATTAATGACCAAGTAACCATTAATGGCCAAGTTACCACTGATAGTAAGTTACCATTAATGGCAAAGTTACCTTCGATAGTAAGTTTTATTCATCGGCCGGGGCCCTGTGGTTATTCTAGTGGGGAAAGCACTGCATTCAGAAGTACCAGATTCGAGCCCTGAGTAGGAGAGGCGTATCATTACATATTTTTCTTCTTAAGGAATTTGTTTTATTGAGAAATTCACGTAGATTTGCCACTCCCCTCCCAGGAACGAATTGAATTGTTGGTTAAGGATGGGAATGTTTTGCAGTAAAAAAAAATGCCTGTATTATATTGGTACATGTTTATGATCTGATATACACTTACATTCGATAGCATGATATGTTTACTATACGACCATATCGTTCACGTATGTAATCGTCATTAATGTTTTGATATTAAAAAGGGGGAAGGGGTCGTGTAAAGCAAACCTTGAGCTAACAAACAAACGAACAAACACAAAGACTCAACTGGGTGTGAAGTAAACGATTATAAATTCTTAGGCTGCTTTTACAATGGCGTTGAAAATAGGAATAAATGGTATTTATTCGTTGTGGCACCGTCATACAAAAAGAAGACCAATACTATCGATTAACTGAACCTAGGATATATAAAACAAAACTATCTAATATTCGAGAAAACGGTAAAAATACAGGGTAGCAGGCAGAAGATTGTTCATCTGTATTTTATCATTGTACATAATACATCAAAGAGTATAATGGTATACAAGTCGTTCCTGTATAAGTAAATAACTCCATGTACATGCATATGATGTTTGGTAGAGGACATAGTAATTTTCTGTTCGACAGTACCATGGGTTATATTACTTTTTTTCTGGACTACGATTGAGTGTTATATATTTGTTTTTACAGTTTTATTTTTAAAAAGAGGCTGACGGAATTTATTTTTTCATAAACAGATATTTGAAATGTAGTTTCATATAAATGCACATGTATATTTATCAACTTAAAAATGATACTTGAGAGTCAGATGTTTGAGCAAAATAATAGTTTTCTCTTAATGTTGGAAGATATAAGAAAAAATGCTTCTTCAAAGGAAGAATACGTCCAAACTGAGGAAGAAAATGAAAAGAGGAGAAGGGTAATACGAAAAAACATCAAAAGAGTAAAGAGAAGAAGAAGAGAATTAGAACGAACAGAGTAACAAGGAGAACGGGGAGAAAAGAAAAGGAAGACGAAGTAAGAAGAAGAACAAGAAGATTTCAAACGAGAACAAGAAGAAGAGGACGAGGAAGGAGTATAGGAGAAGATTAAGAAGAAGAATAAGGAGGGGTGGAAATTAAAGTGGAGTAGGAGACGGTGAGACTGAGAAATAGCTTTAACTATTTTATAGACATGAAAGATCAGTATTAGAGAGAGCGAGACCTCTTGAAGAATTTTATTTTGATTATGTAAAAGAAAAAAGTATGAAATGTACTGTAAATAGTCATTGTATTTATCTCATGAAATGTTCTGTGTATGACTCCCAATGTATCATCATGACCGTACGGTATGCTGTACGTGTGTAGTTTTTTATCTGTAATCTGAAAAGCATTACATTTCAATATATTTTATCAATCTTGAGCTCCCTCGAATCAATCAATTATAATTCTTAATAACATTCGGAAACCAATCCAATATTTTTACACTTTTTATGGCAAATAAATCATGCTTGTTTAGTGATTTTTTTTTATATTATGCTTAACAACAAACAAAAAGGGGGAAATTTAATTCCTTGATCTTTTTTTGGATTCGGGTATATAGGCTAGGAGAAACTATTTTTGTGAGACCATGAGTAGTATTAATTTCATTTTAATTTGATATTATTTTGAGATAGAACTATCGGACTTGAGTACCTCATTTGTCCACAATACATAGTTAGCAAACACATTGAACATATTTTATCATAATTACGACAAGGAATTATGTAAATTTATGTATTTGCAATGTACATTTTGAAGTATCTTTTTAACATGTCACTTTGTCAAAATATTGTTTTTTATAATTATTTTACTACTATGTACAACGGTTAATTTGTGTCAACTATGCCTTCATAATCTTGCATTTATGTAATAAACCATTACATTTTACTCGTAATTACTATGGCCATATTGTGTTTATTTTTATACTTACGCGGTATCAAGTTCATCTGATTATGATCAATGATTTGAGCTTCGACTTTTCTTCTGCTGATCCTAGTGAGTACGAATTTGTTTCGAAAAAGAATTAAACTCTTACATTTATTTACATATTTGAGTGTATGGGTGGGTGGGTGTGTGTGTTCGTGAATTTGTGTGGGTGAGTGGGTGAGTGAACATGAGTGCGAGTGTGGGGTGTGTGTGTGTGCGTGCGTGTGTGCGTGTGTTCCTACGTGTGTGCGGTGGTGTGTGTGTGTGTGTGTGCGCGTGTGTGTGTGTCGGAGCCAAATAGTTGAATGCGATGGAATAATAAAAGTTGACGTGTCCAATTGAGTGCTATTCGGAACAAATTTATAAGTATAACTACACAAACGAGATAAATGAACAAAATAAAAAGCAAAGTGAAATGTGGAGGGACCTGTGATGAGCAAAAGAATTAGAATAATAATAATAATGTAATAATGTAACTTATATCGCGCCAAATCCACTCTGTGGAGTGCTCAAGGCGCGTGTAAACAGGAAAAACGATCAAGACTTGAAAAGGAATGTTTTGAGATGAGTTTTGAAAGAATCAGAAGATGAACATTTTGTTGATGTCTTCAGTAAGGCCATTCCATAATTTAGGACTAGAGTATGCAAATGATCTTCCCCCCCCCCCCACACGTTTTGGTAATTTTTGGGGTCACAAGAAAATTGGAAGTGGATGAGCGTAGAGGTCTTGCAGGAGTGTAGTTTTGGATTAGAGAGATAAGGTATTGAGGAGCAGAGCCGTGAACGCAATGAAAGGTAAGCAACAAAATTTTGAAAACAATGCGATCTTTTACTGGGAGCCAGGCACGTACACAGGGGGGGGGGGGGGGTTTAAACCCCCCCCCCTTTGGTAATTTTTTGTGTGTAAACCCCCCTAAATTTCTCTAAACCCCCCCCCCCCCCCTTTTGATTTTTTTTTTTTTTTTTTTTTTTTATTAAAAAAAAAAAAAGAATTTTTTTCCCCATGGTCGACCTAAAAAAGCTGACCTTACCCCCCCAAAGACAATTCGAGACCAAAAAAAAAAAAAAAGTGACCTCTTACCCCCCCCCCCCCCCCTGTACTTTGGAACCAAATATAAGGAATTTGCATTTGTCAAAATTTAATTTCAAGGAACGTGCGAGCATCCAATCATGAGCATCAGCCATGCAAGATTCAAGGCGATGAACGGCTCGTTCTGCAGCGGCTTGATCTGAATTGAAGGAAATCATAAGTTGAATATCGTCTGCATAAATATGATAATCTATGCCATGTTGTAACAAAACTTGTCGCAATCCAATTAAATAAATTGAGAAGAGAGTAGGCCCGCCCACAGAATGAAATATGACTGTGTGGCGGTGAGATACGAGAGAGATAAGGGGGGACTGGAGGGTAAAAACTACGAGAGAGAACTGGTGATTAAGAGACTATTATAGTGATTTCAGGGACAATACCTGAATAGTTACGGAACTCGCTGCATATGAGACATCATGATGAACAACATGATGGACACTATTGCCAAGAATTACATAAATAAAAGCCAGCTTAGATTAGGAAAGTGCATGATTAGAGGTAAAACTTGTAATACTTCATGCGAAAATAGTACAAAATAACGGCACTCAACTATTTCAAATCCATCCATGACTTCGCCTCCTGTTTTCTGTTTTGACACACTCTTTCAAAGGCTTCAGTTTTTTTTCTGACGGAGGAGGAAGGAAACAAAACTACAATCAATTTTGACAATGTCAATATTCAATGGCCCGAGATTTATTGCAAGAATGTTTATGAGACATAAACATGTTAGAATGCTATAATATTTGTGTTATTGCGATTTCCCAAAATGTTGTATTGCGTTATCCAATGCTGACATCACACGTGGATGAAAGTTTGCTACCGAGTTGGACCGTCAACAAAGTCAGCTCGGCAAAATTCGGCAAAACTCGGGATTCTTCGGTACAACTGATAGTAACCCGAAAAGCGTTTAAAAGCAATTAAAACAAATTCAAGTTTAGCGTCCCCGCCTACTCTCTATTTAGAGCCCGCATGTTTTTGTTTTTTTAATGTATGAAAACATACTGCTAAAATGATCTTTTTCTAAATTAAAAAAAAAAATGCTGGCGGCCATTGTGAAAAATAGCCTAACCGCCTGGATTTCAAAATATACCAAGCGGCCATTTGGAGAGAAAATAAATGTTTTTCCTCCTCGGAAGCAACTTTCAGGAAAACACAACAAAGGTCTAGATCCCTTTAACATGTTTCACCCATTCATTACAACATGTTATTACATGGTATAACACATATCTTGGAGTATTTGTCTTCTTTTCGGATATTTCATAAAGTATTCAGTGGGCTAATTTTTCTACCCGTGTTTGTATCTTCAAAACAATCGCAACTACTTTCGATAATCGACTTAAGGCAATTCCTATTGCCTTGTTCGTCACCTATTGAAATATGAGAACATTACATGACACTGAGACAATACGAAATCCAAACATGTTTTTGGCTAACTCGGCTCAAAGACATCTCGGCCCAGCTGCAAAACGATCATTTTTTGTAATTTAACCCTAACCCTGACTCTGACCTTAACCCTAACCCTAACCCTAATCGTTTTTGCAGCTGGGCCGAGTTGTTTTTGAGCCGAGTTATAATTAGCCCGACTCCGATGTACAATAGGGAATTGAAATTGTGCTCGAGTTGATTTTATCGAAATTAGTTGTGATCATAATCTTAAATGCTCGTAAGCTTATCCGACCATAGCGTACGTGACTGGTCCAACCTACGACCCTTCTATTGCTGACGAAGTGAGCTTTGACCTTGAGACTTGAGAGGGATAATTTCCAAATAAAGCGGTGAGAAATTTATCTGAGAGAATGGAATAGAATAAAACAGGGAGAGACAGAGAGAGGGGAAGTGAGGGAGGGAGAGAGAGAGAGAGAGAGGGGGGAGAGGGTGGCGAAGAGAAGCGCGAAGCATTTGGATTAGAAAATTGTGTTCCTTTACAGTCATTGTTTAAAAAAAACCGACTGTATTTTGTGACTTTTTGTCTAAACTAATATCATGCAAATTACTTTCATGACTTCAGAAAGAAGAAAAAATATTACTTAAATGTGGATAAATTAAGATGGACATTATTGAACTTATTGATTCAGAAGTAAATATCTGGTTGCACGGATATGCTTCATGCATTAACTATAAAAAGGCATAGGCTATGAAAATTAGAGTATAAATCATTTAATGGATTTGTTGTTTAATGATTTACAAAACCTTAGTAGTTCAGTCTGGTTGTAATGATTAACAATTGTCACAAGTTAACGATGCAGTGCATAATTGCTTCAGCAAGAATGAAAAAAAGAATCGAAATCATTATGTCTTTCGTAGAGCTGTGATGGCCGAGTGGTTAAGGCGTTGGACTCGAAATCCAATGGGATCTTCCCGCGTAGGTTCGAACCCTACTCGCAGCGTTATTTTTTTTTTAATTCTCCTTTCCCTCTTGTAACACCTTTCTAACATTATTAGTTGGTAAATGCATTTTTCTCTAATGATAAATTTTATCGCAAAATAAATAATGGGATAAAGATTAAGTGCTTTCTTACTTCTTTATTTTTCCCCTATACATGTTTTACGTAAAACAAAGATTGTTTTAATATACAGCGCATGAAACAATGTAGACAAAAAAGACATTAGTGTACATGTATACTAACATCTGAAGGTAACTCTACAGACAATTATATTCAAGCATGCAAATATAGTTCTTATAAACAGAGATCCCAGTATATCATATAAAAAAAACCTTTGTACTTAATAATTCGGCTATTAAATATATGCAGCATATATATGCTGCATGTTATGGGTGCCCGTCGTACATAAGTGAGTTAATGTTACCTGAGATCAAAATATATCGTAGTATTTTGGGATCACGGTAAACAAAAAAGTAATAGTACTATAGTACAAAACAAACATTTTCTTGGCAGAGCTTCCAACACCTACCTGGGGTTATTATACTCTAATCATGATTAGGATATTTTATCAGGATTGCGATATTGACACATCTACATTAACCGTCTCGTAAACACTGCTGTGAACTTTGTTTCGAGATTTAATGTGATTGTCATTGTATATCCTTTACGCAAAATTATGTACATAAACATATTCCTCTCCAATTTTACAATTATGCAACTGAAATGCCGCTTTTTTGTAAAAAATATGTAAGAGAGAGAAATGGGGAAAATAGAAATACAGAGAGAGAGAGATAGAGAGAGAGAGAGGGAAAAATCGTAAACAAGTAAAATATAAATGGTTCATACAGCAAAACAATATAACAAGACAATTATTAAAATTACATGCAGATGCAGAATATGGATTATATTACATGTAGCAGATTGCCTTATTGCTTACTTGCTAGGTGCCTTATCTGTTCCTGACATTTCAATCAGGGCTTTCCATCTACTTCTATCTCTGGTTCTTTGTATTGACTTTGCTTCTGTTACCAATCAGCCCAATAGTCTTATCCATGTATTTGACGCGCTCTCTCTCTCTGTTTCTCTTTCCCTCGAATTTGTTCCTGTCAGTATCCCGTTTTATGTGCCTTCTCTTCTCATAATACGTCCAACAAACTGAAGTGGATTGCCTTATAAACATGATAAATATTTCCTTATTTTCTGCTGGAGCATACCCATCGCAACCCCCCTCCCCCCCCCCCCTCCCCCTATCCCCTCAAACCCTCCAAGCGCTCAAGTGGCAAGCGAGTCTGACTTTGAAACATATCCAATGCACCCTCTCCCCGCTAACAATCCTTCTTTTTAACACGCCATTGGCTTACATGATATACGTGCATTTAAGAATATAACTTCAAGTATACGGTGCCTAGCATTGACTGTTCCTATACAATTTTCTTCAAATAGAAAACACTCATAAAAGAGGCAGGAGAGGAAGATTCTACGAAAAATGCCTCG